TTTAATGTAGAATTTTTTTCTATTTTATTAAATAAAGTTTCAACTATGGCATTTACAAAAAAAAAAAAAAAAAAAAATTTTGTTTGCAAAATGACCTTTCATGTTTTAATAAAAACCATTTCTTGTAAAATTTTAGTAAAGTATGTTCTATTAAACCTGTATAACATTTTAACATTATATCAAAAAGCAGGATTTTGTTTTGTCTAATAGATACTATAGGAGAAATTTAATAAGCCTATCAACGGAACTGTAACTCTAATTTATTAAATCTTGATAAAATAAATAGATTGATTTGAAGCAATTAATTAAATTTAAATGATGCTTTACTACAATCTTCAAAATTTTTTTTTTAATATTAATGGTAAGGCCATGCCTCTATCTTTATCAGTGATGGTAAATGACCTGAAATGACCCAAATGACCCAAATGATAAATGACTAGTCATTGGGTCATTTCGAGGACCAAATGACCTAGAAGATCATTTAACATATTTTAATTAATATTCTAATGCCCTTTAGCCAATCAGAATTGGCTGCAAAAAAAATTATATAATCGATAATTGTAGCTATAGATTAAGTCAAAATTTATTAAGTTATTTAATACTATGTCTTAAGTAAACTTGTTTGAAATAATAAATTGCATATATTCTAAAATTTTTATATAAACTAAAGAACTTTTATTAATTCACTTCAGCACGTTATAAATTTTTTTTTGATTTACATAAAATTTCAAAATATGTAACAACTTAAGACTTAAATATTAATTGAATTAATAAGATTTTAACTTTAATATATAGCTATGATTATCAATTTTGATAACTTTAATTATAAATTATCTTATATATAAATGATCTAAATGAACATAATAATCTAAATGATCTTGTCATGCTCTAAATGATCTTGTTATGGTTTGATGATTTGAGTTATTTAAATTCTGATCCAATAACCAGGTAATTTTCTATTCCTGGGTTGAATCGGATATATGAATTTTATTGGCCGAGCCTATAAATATTTAGCCCAACTTAGCTAATTTCATTATATGTTGATTACTGAAAAAGTTTATTTTTTTTAAGTTTTCTTTATTAGGTAAAGTTCCTAATCAGGTTGGATCTTTAAATTTGTTGTTATAAGATTTCAGACTAATTAAAGTAGTGAATTCTTTGAGATTAGCATGGCCTGATAAATCTCTATTACTAACTATTGTTATGCAATTAAAGTTGATTAATCAATATAGGAAAATTAGATCTGAGATACAACTCAATATGCACAATGCCCTAATGACTAAATGACTCTCAAATGACCTGGTTATTTCTAAATGACTATTGTCACTTGGTCACAAGTCATTTCCAAATGACTTAAAATTAAAATGACTGACAATGACTGGTTACTTTGAGGTCATTTGAGGTCATTTAAAAAATTTGCAAATGACCAGGTCATTTATCATCATTAATCTTTATTGAATATTTAATTAAGATTATTATATAAAGCACTAATCTACTTTAAAATATTATAAGAAGAATAGAAGCTCAGACTAGTTTATCTGTGACCTAAACCAACTAGAGTGGCCAAGGCTCACTTAGATTTGGGTATTAGTAATAATATGAGAAAGATTAAATTGGTATTTGATCCAATGTATATATCAAGAATTTATCTTGGAACTAATAATTGTAAAAGAAAGGAGTTGAGATGTGTGCGAAGAAGAATTTGAAGATAAATTATTAGTAGAAGAATGAACTGTTGATCTTGAAATACAGTAAAGAATCCAGATTTTATAATAAACTTGTTGATTAAAATGAAGTAGAAATTTTATAACAAGTGTTGTAGCTATTTTTTGGGTTGATAAGTTTGAAATAGAGGTAATAATTTCATTTGATAATAAGAATTTTCTAAAACTTTTTGAAGCTGATAAAGAGAAACATTAGAAATATTAAAAATTTTAAATATATTATTAAATGCTTGATCAGAAATTGTATGTTTATCTTTGATATAAAGAAGCTGAAGCCCTTTAATTATTTCATTTGATAAATCTAAAATATAAAAATATTAATATAAAAATTTTAAAGAAACATTTTTTAAATAAAATATTAAAAATAATTATCATTAAATTCAACATATCAAAATTATCTTCTGATTCAAAATTTATTTTTTCACTACTTTCTGATTCATTCTCCTCCAATTCATCCTCCTCTAATTTATCCTTCTCCAATTCATCCTTCTCCAATTTATTCTCTTCCAATTCATCCTTCTCTAATTTATACAGGATCTCAAAATATATATAGATAAGTCAGATTAGAGTTTGCTTATTTTTTGACCTTTTTTGTACAGATTATTTTCATTTATAGTAATTAATTTGCTTATTTTTGACTTTTTCTTGCAGATCTTTTTATATTTAGTAATTTTTGTAAAACCTCTTACCACTTAGTATATATTTTGAGGATCTATTTATACTAGTATAGTATAATAAAGAAAATAGATTAAATTAACTGGCATTATAAATAATGCTGGCTAATTTTATCTCAATATAATAAAATTATTTACATAGTAAAAAATTAAAAACATATGTATAAATAATATTTTAAAAATTGATCAACATTATTTTTTTAGCACTAGTAAAATATTTACTTATATTAGGCCTTGCCACCATTTGTCAATACAAACTAACTTCTTAACCTTTTCATCATCCTTCGACTTATCCTCATCTATCTTTCTCTCTTCATCAAAATGATAGACATTTTTTCTTTTGCTTCATATTAAAATCTCTAAGTCTACCTATAAATATCTTCTAATACTTTTATTTTATTATTTTATTAAATACATTAATGCTTTTTATCTCCTTTTCCTCTTCTATAATACAGTAATTTAAATTATTATATTTTATTTACAAATCATTTATCTAATAAATTGGTAAGAGATTACTGATATATTAGGTAAATGATTTGTGGGTTAAATAACAAATTATTTATCCAATATATTGATAAGAGATTATTGATATATTGGGTAAATGATTTATTAGTTAAGTAACTCTAAAATTGATTTAAAAAATAATTTACATGCCAAATTTTATTATGCTTACCTCATTCACCTCTATTTTTTTCTTATTTTGGTATGATTTTAGGCCTTTAAGTTTGGATTAGCATTTATTGTTACTGTTCGATGTTGCATCTTATGATGTTTTAAATTTTTTTTCAATTGCACCAGAATGGTGATGATATTTTAGTAATTTTTTTATTATATCCAGAATTAGCTTTTGCTTCACATTTCACAATTAAGTAATTCAGATTTTAGTCAGATCAGGCTTTTGGTTAGATAGCTTACCTCCTTCTATTAATATTTTAATTTTAGTTTTTTAGTAATAATGGTAATAATATAATAATAATAAAATAAATTAATTATAATAACAATTATAGGTATGGAATTTAGTGTAGCACCTAGTAATTGGTAGATATTTAATTAGATACTCAAAAGGCACAGATATAGCTAGAATATATTCTTATCAGAATGAACTTGTCTGAGGCCTCTTAAAAAGGGCACTAAATAATTCTATAATTTAAAAAGTAGAAAGCCAAAGAGGCTAATCTTGACTACAAAAAAAAAATAAAAAAATTAATTATAAAAGTAAATTAATTATAATATCAGAACTACCTTTTCTCTTATTAACTGATCTACCTTTTTTCCTTTTAATTGATTTATCTTTTACTTCACTTTCATCTTCGCTACTAGTAGCTCTTGAGCTACTAGAGTGTTAAAATGATGATGATCTTTCCTTTCCTTTCTTCTTTCCAAATATAGTCATAACTTCTTGAGCAACTGCTTGTGTAATGAATTTCATATCCACTAATAATAGATTATTATTGTATTAATAATATATTAAAATTACTACCTTTTATAAACCTTACTTTTTTTTTTTTATGTTTATATAACTTCTTCTTAGACTTTTTAGCACCCATTTTACTGCTTTTTGCTTTTGGCAAATGCTTTTCTTTCCCATAATTTGATAAAATTTTAAGTTTATGAAAAATTAAAAGAATTCTAATGATATTGACCGTCTTATATATAAATTTTATCCTCATTATTCTAATATCAATTAATTAAATTAAAAAATTACTCTAAATAAATGATTATATTAAATTAATTACTTTTGTATAGAAGATATTCCTTCGAACATTGTACTTATTCATTATTAAGCAATAAAAAATTATATTAATATCAATATAATATTATTAATTAATAACTGATTATATTGAATATAATATACCTTTAGCAATTATCAAATTTGGAGTTATGCATTTTGGTAATTTTTTAATTAATTCTGATTACATTAAAAAATAATACTTTTTCTAAAAAGATTAGATGATGATCTTGGATAGATATATAAAGATAAGCATTTAATAGGTATATAAATTTATTTATATTTTAAAATTTGTTTGCTAATAGGTGTTCTGGTTCATGGTTCCTAGTTATTGATTATATCTTCCAGTTTTATCTATTTGGGGAATGGCTCCTCTATTTTATCACCTTGGTTCTAATTTACAAATTGCAAATTATCATAGAGAAATGCTACTGCTTCATCCTTAGAAAGGTAAACATGGTGATTTTCTTGTTTTGAAACCAGAAAAACTGCCAGTTGTTTCTTAAATCTGTCAATACAGTTAAAACTGCATGAGCAGATTTAAGATCATTGGTAGTTAATTCTGCTATTTCTTGGTACAAGCAACTGTCATTAGCAGATTTATTTAATTCAAAAAGAATCCAAATATGATGTTGTGAGATTCTTGATGAAATAAAGAATCTGTCAACAACAGTTGCATCTGTTGTACCAATTAGTTTAATTGGCAAAATTCTGTCACTCATGTTCAAAAAATTAGTTTTCTTGGACATATATATAGCTCAAGTTTCTGATATTTCAAAATTCTGAGTGTCTTTCTTAGATGTGATAAATATCTATCACTTTGCTCCTGTTTTGTCTTATCATCCCATTGAAACATATTATATTTAGCCTCATGTCTAAGGGTAACTTTAATGGCTTCAAGTTTGAGACCAGTAGCCTTTTCAATTTGGTCCCAGTCGTTGAATTTAATATTCGATATTGCTATCTCAACCAGTCTTTGCAAAATTTTTATTAAATTCTCGATGTTACTAAGCTTCTAGATGACCTCATGATTGCTTGATTGGATAGCTAAAAATTAAAAATTAAGTTAGTTCTTGGTTTTATGTTTAGTGCTTAAAGTATTAAAAAAATAATAATAGTAATCAAATTAAATTAAATGTTCGTAAAGTAATCTACTTAGTATTATTTCTCAGCAGCTTCATATGATTTTCAATTTTTTAAAGATCAGCAAGTTT